GAAGATTGTTGCTAGTTCAAGGCCAGCCTGGGCTACACGGTGAGTGTAGGACCAGCCTGAACTACATAGCAAAACAGCATCTGGAAAACAAAAAGACCTAATATTATGTACAGAGCCTCAAAGCCTCCAGATTTGGAGTGACTTCTTCGGCCTTCAGAATTGCTTGTACATATTTGTATAATGATGTATAAAAAACTCATTTAAAAAAGGTTCTGTTTTTTAAGTCTCAATCACAGATTAGGTAGGTTGAGCATGGTTCGAAGGCCCGAACAGATGAAAAAGACAAATGAAATGTAGTCTTACATTTTACACATCTTGAATGTGTTACTGACTTTCCTGTTTTCTAACCGCTTGGTAGGCAGATACCATACTTAGTGTACTTGTCAGTCTGTAGGACTCATGAAACCAGGAGCCCATCCACCAGAAGTCTTGGACCAAACCCCTGCTGATACCTGAATTACTTGAAAAATAGCTTCTCTGTGCCCAGGATATGTTGCTTCACCCATCTTGTGGAAAGTGCTTTGGTCTTACCCAGAGCAGGAAGTAGTTGCTTCACTATTGTAGATAATAGGTAATGATCTCTTGGGTTACCAGATGAAATGTGGGATGCCAAGTTATATTTGAATTTCAGAAAAGCAGTCACCTTTTCAGTATGTTTTTTAAAAAATCTAATATATGTCTCATCAAAATAAATAAATAAATAAACAAATCAATAAAAAAAAGTGGCCAGGAACATAGATCAGCAGTACAGCACTTGCCTGGCAAACACAAGGTTCTGAGTTCGATTCCTACCCAGTACCGAAAAAAGTTTTCTGGCTGGGAGTGGTGGCGCACACCTGTAACCCAGCACTCAGGAAGCCCAGGAGGAAATCTTTTTGAGTTTGAGGCCCACCTGGGCGCATAGTAATATAGACCCTGTCTCAACCCCCCACCCCCGGAAAAAAAAAAAAAAAAGTGCTGCCTAAAGATGAATAGCAAATCTATCAAGGAGTGACACTGCCTGCAGGCTCCCGAGAGCAGCAGGGCTGCTGGGTCTGCATTCTCCGGCCCGACAGCCTGCACTCCCTCCCACCAGCTGCCCAGGGATGGTGGACACTTGGGAGCCACAGCTTGGAACCCACAGCCCCACTGGAATCGGGGCTGCTGGACAGCACTTCGGTGGTCCTTTAGCCACGGAGGGTGACACTCTACCTTCTCATCTATAGAACCCGGCCCAAAATACGTACTTATCAGGGGAAAGAAGTGTTGCTTTTTTTTTTTTTTTTTTTTTTTTTTGGTCTTTTTGAAACAGGGTATTATGCAGTTCAGGCTGGCCTTGAGCTCACTGTGTAGCCCAGGCTGGTCTTGAACTTGCAGCAGTCCTCTGGCTTCAGCCTCCTGAGTGCTGGGATTACTGGCGTGCACCGCCACACGCAGCTAATTTTAAAGTAAATTCCCGGAGACACCTTGAGATGCACACACGGTCCCGTCGGCTTCTACAACAGAGATGCCCAAAGCTGTGGCCACTCGCTCCCACTGTGGGCTGCTGGGTGGGTACATGGACTGGCCCGCAGAGTAGGAGAAAGCGGGTAACCCAGGCGAACACTGGGACTCCATTTTCCAGATAATCAAATATAAAATCAAAGTGAAACCTCAGAAATGTGAACTGGAATAGTTCGCTGAGATTCTGCTTTTCCCTTAGAAAAGTTCTTTAGGACATCAAACAGCCCAAGAGCTTAAAGAACCAGGCAAAGGGGGCAGCCCCACCGCTAGGTTAAAGTTCCCAGGAAGAACCCAGGGGGGTAACTGCGGGGGCAGGGGCAGCCCGGGGCAAGGCGGGGGCACACCTCCGTCCACACAGCTGGGGTGGGAAGGTGCGGGCAGCGCTGAGGCCCTGGACGCGAGGGCCGCAGTCGGAGCCCGGATCTCTGCGCTGCAGGGTGCTGGGCGCCGGCTCGGCCTTCCCAACGCTGCAAAACCAGAGGCGGGAAAATCAGCAAGGACCCTGTCCATTGTCAGTTCAGACGTGAAAGGGCATCGCAGGCATCGCAGGCATCGTAGGCATCGCAGGACGTCCAGACACAGGAAGGCCGGCGCGTGATAGGCTTTTGCTGCAGCCTCAGTTGTAATTCTCACGTGTTTTTGGCCTGTTAAAATGTTAATCTCTGTACAAGTAACTTGACAGACATTGAAATATAAAAACCGAAGGGGGGAATTGGAATTATATAGATTTCCCCGTGGTTAGCCCAATCGTTACATACCGTGAACACACAATAAAAAAATAAAGAAATTTTTAAATGGTGTACAGAGCAAAAAATGACAGCTTGCCCAAGACTAAGGCGCCTGGGCCCTTGCTGCAGTGAGGCGGCTCCCGCAGGGGAACTGGGTCAGCTGCACCGAGCAGCGCCGCATCCACCCCGCACGTCAACTCGCAGGCGTGTGCCCACGCGGAAACTGGAGAAGAGCAAGCGCCCGCGCAGAAGGCGCCAACACACACCCCGGGCTCAATGACAAGTGGCCCGTCTCCTCTAGTGAAAAAACGTCGTAACATGCAATGCGCTCACAGTGGGGGTACAGAGGCTCGAAAGCCATCCGCAATTGCATGGAGTCTATCTGGCTCGGCAAAGTCACGACACCGGCACGCTCACAGTCTTTTTGAAATTAGGTCTCACTATGTACCCAGGCTGGCCTCAAACTCCTGGCCATCTCCTTTGGACAAAAACTTTTTTTAATTGAGCAAATAGGGTCCACAGGGTTGTACTACCTAGATTGGACTCGTAGTGATTCTCCTGTTTTCAGCCTCCCAAGCGCTGGGATTACAGGCACTCAGCACCACGCCCAGTCTAAATCGCTCCCAGTGCAGGGGGGGGGGGGGGGGCAGAAGGACCGAACCCCAGCCGCTGCATTCTGCCTAAGCAGGCGCTTTAGTGCACTGAGCCCAAGAAATCTCTGACCTGCACACCCAGGAAGCACGCAGCCTGGCAGGGGCTGCGGATGGAGCAGACGGGTGCCCCGGGAGCCCAACACCCGAGGGCTACTGGTGCAGATACTCCCTGGAGCCTTACTATAGGGAGGAAACAACCCTGTGATATTTGCTCTGAAATACTTGAGGGGCCGGGAGATGGCTCAGTAGAATAAGTGCTTGCCTGGCAAACACAAGGGCCTGAGTTCAATCCCCGGTTCCACTAAATAAAATACATAAATAAATAAAATGCTTTGAGAGTCAGGGAACAGCGACGAGAACATGGGAGAAATCATTACCATAATCTATGATTGTGTGCGCTCCAAGCCGCATTTTTAAATTTAAATAAAATCAGGAACCAGAAACACAATAAAAACAAACGAAGATTGCAAAACACCAAATCTATATTTACATCCACATATAATAACATAACTTTAAGCTGAAATATATCATAAATAAGTAATGTCTACTGTTTGACAAGTAACAATTAAAATAAATCAAACTGGAATGAAATAAATACATAAACAAAAATTCAACGAATTGTACCTCTATTACATGTACTGTTGTCTCAAAGGAAAAAACATACAAAAGCAGTAGTATTCCAATAGTTAATACTGATGGACAAAAAACATTTTGAAGTACAAAGGGCTGTTAAAAAAAAAAAATCGCTATTTTTATGCATTTAGAAACATAGTTGGAAAGGATAAAAAAGCCCAAAACATTTCAGCATAACACAAATTGATTTGTTTCCACATAGATTTGGTGATTTTTTTTAAATACAGGTATAAATTTCAGCCAGCTATATCACATCCCACTTGTTCTTAAAGATTTACATTTATATCACAGCAAGCTTTCTGTACCACTCACTGGATTAGGCAAAGACTGAATCAATCATTTTGCAAATGTGTTAATCTTCAAAAATAGGCTATAAAAAGTGCAAAACTATGAAAACAAAGATCTAGGTTATATACATATGGCTCAGCTTGCGGACAGGACGCCAGAGTCCGTGCGCCCCCGGCCGCCCCGAGCGCAGGAGTGAGGCCCTCGCTCTTGCCTGGGGCACCTCCACTGCGTGGGGACGCACCGGCCGAGTGGCCGGGAGCCTTCCGCCTTGGCGAGGAGCAGGGCGGGGAGGAGGAGCAGTGCAAATTCACTTTTGGGACAGTTTCTTCATAAAATATTCTGTGGCTGCTACACACACAAGCTGCCGATAGACTCGGCTGTGGACAACACGCTAAAGGAGCACAGTCTGAGACACCGCGTGGCTCCCGTCCACGGCCCCAAGCGCGGCCCAGGGAGACCCGCCACCCCGGGAGGGAGGCGCCAGCCAGAGCCCTCCTCCTCCTGCAGCTGCGGCCGCTCTCCTCGTTGGCACATCCGCCGCGCCAAGGACGCCCACACTTCGCCACACACACACACACACACAGCACGCAGACCTTTCCCACACTCGGCCACACACACACACACACACACACACACACACACACACGGCACGCAGACCTTTCTCTCTCTCTCTCTCTCACACACACACACACACACACCCCTGCTCCCCAGGGCTCATGATTCGCCGGCGTGATTCAGCGACGTCTGTAGACTACCCGGCGACTACCCGCCCGAGGAAGCCGCCTCTTCCAACAGCCAGGACTGTGAGACCAGCCCAGAGGTGCGGTGTGGCGTGGCCCGGTGCGGCCCGGAGTCCGGGGTCCGAGACTCGGGACTGGGGACCCAGGCGGGGCCTGCAGCGAGGCAGGGCAGGTCTGGGGACCCGCGGAGGGCGCTAACGAGATGGCACAGCTTCAGACGGTGGGCGCGCTCCAGGCTTCGTGAAGACCACGGGCAGTGGAGGACTCCATGTAGGACAGAACGTTGAGAATTTTTTAAAACATACATTTTTAAATGAATGAGCACAAACAGCAGAAACTGCTGTAAGGGCTGAGCTCCATTAGGGAAAAGAACACACAGTATTTGAACAAGCAGGTTTCCAACTTAGATATGTACAGACTTTCACCTGAGGAGCAACGTTATAGACTCTCCCGCCCGCCCGCCCGCCCGCCCCCAGTGACTTCTCTTCAGCAGCGCTCAAGTAGGCAAAACTCCACCTTATTTGGTCAATTCTAAAAAAAAATATCATTCGGGGACAAAAGCGAACTTTCCAGTCCCCGTTCACATACAGCCCAACTGGTACAACTAGTTTTTATTGCTATTTGGTACAAAAGTGAACAGAACAACTTTACAAACTGTAGTGTTCCTCGCATGTTCCTCACAAGTTCCTCGCATGTTCCTCACATGTTCTACATACAGTAAATCACAGCTTTTTTCAGTAGCTTTCACCATTACTTTCTCAAAGGATGCACTAACATTTAATTTCATGGAGTGTGTGCACTTCTGTCCGGCAGAACCTAAGGAAAGAAAAGGTATAAAAAGTGATTAAGGGGCTGGCGAGATGGCTCAGTGGTCTAAAGCACCTACTTGGAACAAGCTTGGCAAAGCACAGGGACCGCGGTTCGATCCCCCAGCACCACATGCCAGCCAGCCCGCCCCCTGGTGGGCTGAGCTGGCCACACACACACACACACACAATAAATAAATAAACTTAAAAAAAAATATATTAAAAAAAAAAGTGATTAAGGTCAAGAATGTGATTTAGGAAACTTTTTTTAGAACAGATGACTAAGTGGAACTCACTCACAGGACCTAGAAAGTCAGTGCATTCCGCTTAAGCTCGAGCGTGACAACTTAGGTATCACGACCCTGAGATAGAGCCAGCAACCCAGCACCAGAACTCGGTACCCGGGGCTGGTGAGATGGCTCAGTGGTCTAAAGCACCTATTTAAAACAAGCTTAGCTAAAGCACAGGGACTGCGGTTCAATCCCCCAGCACCACATGCCAGCCAGCCCCCGCCCCCTGGTGGGCTGAGCTGAGCTGGCCACACACACACACACACACACACACACAAATAAAAAAAATTAAAAAAAAAAAAAAAAAAGGAACTCGGTACCCATGCCACCAAGTCTGGGAAAGGCAGCTACAAGCCACCTCCAAGAAGCGTTAAGGATGACAGTCACCCTGCAACTGGGCTTGCCTGCGGAACCTCCCTGCACCGGTTTGGTGGTGAATCTACTTCTAACACCAACAGGGTGGCCAAGCCTGAGTGAGTTCTCCGTGTTGTTCCAGGCAACATTCGAGGTGTTAAGGTAGAAAGGAAGGAGAGCGGACAGTGAGTGCCAGAACTGGTGGCGCACGCCTGGAATCCCAGCACTCGAGAGGCTGAGGCAGGAGGCCCGCTGAATCTGAGACCAGCCTTGGCTACAAGGGCAGCCTGAACTGCACAGTGAGACCTTGTCTCAAAAAGAAAGGGAGACGGCAGGCACAAGAAAGGGATGGACGGACGGACGGATGGACGGATGGACAGAGGGAGAGAGGGAGGAAGGCAGGCAGGTGGACAGAAAGGCAGCCCTGCACCCACGCTCGCCTCCAGTTTCTGACAATGCTTTGTGAACAGGTCCCAGGTGCCAGAGAGCAGCCGTTAGGAACGCAGGCAAGGCCTGGCGCCCAGGTGGACACTGCTGGGACCACACCCCACGTGTGCACCGCAAGAGTTACCTATCACTGATAATGAGTGGCTTGGGGATTGTGTGCAGAGCTGGCGATCAAACCCAGGCCTTCACAGGTGCCAGCAGGCACTCGCCCATGGAGCTCTACCTGCAGGGTCTACGCTGGTCTTCCTCATTGTTTTTTCCTTTTTTGTTTTTTTGAGACAGGGTCTCTCTGTAGTCCAGGCCAGCCTTGAACTCACGGTGATCCTCCTAAGAGCTAGATTACAAGAGGGTACCACCACACTCGACTGGGGTCTGGCTATGCAGCTCAGGTTGGCAACATGCAGGCCTCCTGCCTCAGACTGTGTGCTGAGATTCCAGGCACGGGCACGGCGCCTGGGGTTGGGGCTGGGGCTGGCTGTTGCTAGGTCTCAATAGCCCCAGCTGGCCTGGAACTGGAACCCGTCCTGCTCTGGCCTCCCCAGCGCTGGGGCCACAGGCATGCGCAGCACACCCAGCATGCTTCTGCTTCCTGCAGAGTGGGTTCGAAGCCTCACCACTGTGTCGACGCCACTCACTCGCCCTCAATACACTCAAGTTATGAGAGAAAGCAGGTCTGTGGCCGCCAGGGGAACAGCGCTGCTGCACCCTCGCGTGTCCTGGGCACACCTGCCGGCTGCAGGCACATTTCCATCTCTTAATCCGTGTAGCAGGCACTTGCAAGACTCCAGAGGATGGGGAGCAGCTGTGCCAGGCCCTGGCTCTAGATGAACAGGTCCGCGACTCGGGCACCTCGTGGGGCTCATCAGACACGGGAGCCACAAGCCCAGAAGTGAAGCAGCCCGCCACCAGCGCCCGCCTCCTCCCACAGCCCCCCAGCAAGGTCACAGCTCCACTGCTCTCGGCCAAGTGCCCAGCTGGTCTCGGGGTCCTGGCCTGGGACATCTGCGCAGCAGCTTGCAAGTCGCCCTGCCTGTTAGCCCCAGGCCCTGTGCTACGCCACAGCTCCTTGATTTTGCTGCTGGAGCAAGGAAATGGCCACAGGTGGTGAGTAAGCGAACAAGCGCTCGTGTGCCGGAAAGCCTCACAGGGACAGTGGATGTTGGCTTCACTTTACAGCCATGCGCTAAGCATGTGCTCAGCAAGGTCAGTGGCCATGACCTTCATTTTACTACTGTCACTGCTGATATCCACAGAACTTAAGAATTATGCAGACTGATCTTACAAAAACTTTTTTAAAAAGCTTAAAATTGGGGCTGGTGAGATGGCTCAGTGGTCTAAAGCACCTATTTAAAACAAGCTTAGCAAATAGCAAAGCACAGGGACCGCGGTTCAATCCCCCAGCACCACATGCCAGCCAGCCCCGCCCCCTCCCCGCCCCCTGATGGGCTGAGCTGGCCACAAACACACACACGCACAAGCACATGCACACACAAAAAAAATAAAATAAAATGCATCCTCACCTTCCTTCCAACAGGAAATCAAGTCTTTTTGTCATTTGATCGATAATGTGCAGTCCCAACTAAATTCTCATAGCTTCTTTTTTGTCGCATGTTATTAGACAAGTGTGGGTAGGACACAGGCCTCTTTCCTGATTAAAAAGAAAGTAAACAAGGGACTGAGTCAGGCTCGGCCACCGTGCGAGCTGCGTGTGGCACCAAAACCTCCACACCACCGACACGCTCCACACTGCAACACACGCACACACCGTGTGCGCAGGGGCTGCTGGGATTCATTTCACTGGAACATCTGTTAGCACAGGATTGTAGGACACTGAAGTTAGCTAGCTTCCAGGCTGACGTTAAGAACTTAAAGGGCACTGGGGAGATGGCTCAATAGAGTAAGTACTTGCCTGGCAAGTGCAAGGGCTTGAGTTCAATCCCCGGTTCCGCAAAAAAAAAAAAAAAAAGCGTATCTCTTTGGGGCTGGTGAGATGGCTCAGTGGTCTAAAGCACCTACTTAGAACAAGCTTAGCAAAGCACAGGGACCGCGGTTCAATCCCCCAGCACCACATGCCAGCCGGCACCGCCCCCTGGTGGGCTGAGCTGGCCACACACACACACACACACACACACAAATAATTAAAAAAAAAAAAAAAAGAACTTAAAAAGACAAAGGGGAACTGCAGCATAAAGCATTCTAAACCTATATGCATCACAAACCCCATGAAGCGATGCAATAAGAAAGATCAATGTTTCATTTAAACGGAGGATGCCAACACAGCGCCCTCTCCCAGTGAAGTTTTGGGTGGACCCACTTAGGGGTAGGGGTGGGGATACAGCTCTGTGCTAAGGTCCCAAGTTCGATTCCCAGCAACAACAAAATTTGTAGGAGTGGAGGGCATGCTGGACACTTCTAACCGAAAAGCAGGGCTGAGGGGACAGTCCAGCAGCAGAAGAGCCCATCTGGCAAGCGCAAGGGCCTGCACTCCATCCCAGTACCAAAAAAAAGAGAAATAAAATATAAACAAGTCAAATTTTAAAAATTGAAAAGCAGTAGAAATTACTATGTCATCACAATTTTTGTAAAATCCACTGGTGTGTATGAAAGCCGTTGTTTTTTCGTTTTTTCAATTTGCTACGCTCACCAATCAGCATCAGGTTATCCCTGACCAAATCACCACCACACGAAACCCTTAATTTGAAACTACCAGGAGCTGAGAGGTCTGCCCAGGACAGCGCCTCGTCGGGGCGGGCAGGCCGGCCAGCGGGCTTGCACTTGATAAAGTGAGGTGTGGATGGCCAGGTCTGCTGGGCAGGGCCACCCTGGACGGCCTCAGCCATGTCTTTCCGGATGCGCAGTTGGGACCCTGACTCTGCCACCAAACACATTTCCACCGGGGAAATTTCACGGCCACCCACCAGGTCAGCACTTACGGAGGTGGGAAAACATGGTCACCTTTCAAATTCACCCAGTAACGAGGCCTAGCTGGGGGGCTGGGCTTCCTCCCACGCCCCCAGGGAGCCAAGCTCCAGGTAGTGGGCCAGGGCAGCCCAGCACAGCCAGGAGGCGAGTGTGTAGGGCAGGAGAGACAGCCGCAGTGCAACAGCAAGCGTGGCCAGAGGGGCCAGTGTCTCCCACGGCTGCCCCCTCGATCCCAGGAAAAGATCAAATGCACTAAGTACTGAGAATACAAACATTCGGAGGTAAGTAAGGCAGAGCTTTGGGACCTACGACCACAAGCCACCACCCTGGTGGGAAGGGCCTCTGCCCTGGGACCGTACCTTCCAGCGCTGGGCCAGCAGTGGCAGGGTGTGCAGCAGGCACGCAGGTGTACAGCGCCCCTGAACTGTAGGGCCTTGGCACAGCCAGCAGGTTGGGCATGTCGGCCTCCCCGGAGCCCAGGAAGCGGGGCTTGGGGGTCAAGCTTGCCGTCGGGCACGGGCAATCCTGCGGCAGCAGCGTGGTGATGCCCCTGACGGAGTGGTACTTGGGCAGATCATAGCCCCTTCTGCAGTTGGGCGCCGGCTGCTCCACATCAAGGGTGAGCACACTGGACTTGAGTCTTTTAGGGAGGGGTTCCCCAAACTCAGGTGCAGCGCTGCTGGTGTGCCGATGGCAGAAATAGTCTCTTCCGGGGGCAGCCCAGGGGCCACTGCTCTTTGGGGCACAGTCCCCAGAGGCACTGCTGGTGCTGCCGCTGGCAGGGGGCTGGGAGGGGGCCGCAGCGAGGGGCTTCAGCTTCGTCTCAGCTCTCTTCGTCTTGTCTGGGGCGGGAGAAATGCTGCTTTTCAAAAACATCTCTGACTGCTGCGGTCTCGGGGCCCCAAGGCTCTGATGGGACCTGTGTGACTTCAGATTGCTTGGGGCTAAAGTGCTGGTGTCTGTCCCTTGAGCCAGGGGTGCCCTGCCCGGAGCCGAGGGTGCTGGGCGCCCCTTCTCAGGGGGCAAAGCCTTGGGCTGGACTGAGGGCGCGGGCCTAGCCCGGGGCTTGTGCGGCCCGGGCAGCGGGGCCACATCGCGGCCCTCCAGCGCGGGTGGGCAGCCGGTGCGCCGCATCCTCAGCAGCGACTTGCCGCTGCGGCAGTGCCTGTGCACGTCAGGGTTGTACTTATGCTCCAGCCGCTGGTGCATCATCAGGACTTCGGGGTAGAAGGTCCTGAAGGTACAGAACGGGCAGGCGGTGCTGGGGATGAGGGCTTTGCCCAGCGCGAGGGCCGTGTAGCCCTGGAGGGCCCCGACGGACAGGTTGAGCGGTTTCTCCTGGCAGTCTGCACCGGGCCGGCACCTGGAGTCAGCTGCGGGCTCGGCTCGCTTCTCTCTGGGGCCCGAGTCACCCTGGCGAGCAGCACTGCCATCGGCGGGCAGAGCAGTGTCTGCCCCTGGCTTGCAGGCGAGCGGCGGGGCCTGCGGCTCAGGCAACATCTTCCTCCGGGCCAGCTCTGCAGCCGCGGGCCCAGGGTTCCTGCTGCCCCGCTCTGGGGCGGCCGCTGCACTCCTCGGGCAGTCCCGAGTGTCTGCGGGTACAGCACCGCCCAGGGCGCTCTGGAAGACACACGGCACCTCCTTCGGCATCTTGGCGGGTGGACTGCCTTTAACATCTTTGGCACCATCGAAATTTCGCTTCAAATTTTTGGTCTGCGTGCTATCAACAGTGAAGAGCACATCTTCGCTCTCCTGGCTTTTGCTGTCGCCCTTGACGTCCGCAGCAACGTCCACCTGCTTGTCCTTGTGATGTCTCTCCAAGTGATACCTCAGAGACGTCTTTTGGGCCGCGGCATAGTCACAGAATTCACATTTGTAAGGCTTTTCACCTAGAACAAGAAATGCCAGAATCATGCAGGCTTATGAGAACTCGAGGAAGAGCTGGCAGAGGACGCTTTGCTCGCCTCCTCTAGCTACTGCTCTTCAGAGCCCTCCTCCCACAAGCTCCCTACTTTACATCCTTACTAACATTTACAATATGGGGGCTGGGGAGATGGCTCAGTAAAATAAACGCTTGCCTAGCAAGCACAACGGCCTGAGTTCAATCCCCGGTTCGGCAAAAAAAAAAAAAAAAAATTTACAATTTAAAAGTGTGACTAAAGGGTGGCCCACACCTACAACTCCAGCACTTGGGTGCTCATGGCTCATGGGTCTTGAACAGGCGCAAGGCCAGCCTTATATGAGGAACACCATGGCTCAAAAAAACGAAAACAAAAGAAAATACATGGGCCCGGGCAATAGCTCTGCAGCATAAGCATCTGCCTGCCAAGAGCAAGGTCCTGAGTTCAATCCCTGGTACCACATGCCGTGCCAGCTCAGCTCCAGAACCCCAGGTGCACCAGGCCAGCCCGGGAAATGGGCATGGTGGCGCACACCTGTAATCCCAGCACAAAGGAAGCTGAGACAGGAGGATCACTATGACTCCCAACTGCATAGGGAGACCCCATACTAAATGAATAAAAAAAAAGATTAAAAATATAAAAATTTTACAAGTGAATACATATCTTTACTACAAGAAAATAAAAGTAGTATTTTTAAATGTATTTTTCTAGCTCAGAAAATAGGGCCACAAAAAGTTAAATAACTTTCTCCAACTTGCACAGCTGATGAGCTGAAACTCAAACCCACATAACTCCCCAAACCACTGTCTCTACAGCTGCTTCTACAATTTAAAGGGCACTAAGTCTGTTCTTATGTTAAAGACATGGCATTTAAAAATACTACGGGTTTCAACTGTAAGAGTGAGGATTCAGTAGTCACAAATGAAACAAACCAAGTTCAAAAGGGAACAACTAGGGCCAGCCAAATAGCTCAGCAGATTAAAGTGCCTGCAAGCAAGCAGGTACAGGGGCCAGGGGTTCAATCCCTAGGCCTGCGGTGCTGGCCCCGCCCCTGGGGTGGGCTGAGCCAGCAACTGAGCCTGGGGGTGGTGGTGCCTCTCTTGGGAGGCTGTAAACAGGAGAATCACTAGTGTCCAATCTAATAGGGAGACCCTGATCCCCCTGTAGACACTTCCCTTAAAAAAATACAAAAAAGTAAAAAAGCTTATTAAAAAGTTTTACAAAAAGGAACTGCTCAAGCACAGAAGCCGCAGCTGCAAGCCCCACGTGCACGCATCTTTACTCCAGCTACCCCAAGGCTCAAGCAGAATAAATGAACCCAGCAGAGAAAGAAAAAACATAATGCTTTTAACCAACGCATGCTTTTAAAAACGAAGACCTTTTTACCTGTATGCGTTCTGAGATGAATATTGAGGTAATAATTTGAACGGAAAAACTTCCCACAATAACTACACTCTCTTGAGGATGCAAGATGCTTTATTTTTCCTCCATCATCACTTTTATCTAAAGCAGAAACAGAAACATTTCGGTAAGACAGCTGAAGCATACAAATCAGGCACGCTGACTAGTCCAAGTTTCAGGCCAGCACGGACACATTTCTCATAGTAGTGCTGGAATAAGCAGCGAAGGAGCTGCCTGGCATTCTGCAGTCCCCCCACTGCGGTCCTGCTTTCCGGGTGGAGCAGAGGGAGGTGCTCCCACTCTCAGAACCCGTAACTCAGGAGACAGAGCCAATGTAAATAAATCAATGCTCCCCACCGCCAAAGGCAAAGCAATCTTGGATCTTGAGATTAAAGTTACCACTAGAGGGAAGCAGGCACAACCTATTCTCCCACAGTGAACAAACTTTAGCACTGGCAAACACAAGTTTGTCAAAACTTAGCCAAGCTTTAGAAAGCTGATCTTATTGTCCAGAGGCACTCACGTGCGCCAGATACAGCCAACAAGTTAAACTGCCTGCAAATGACAGGGTGGTAAACTCTGCAGGCCAGGGGCCAGCGAGATAGCTCAGCAGTCTAAAGTACCTGCTTAGGTAAGCTTAGGCAGGGGCGGAGGACCGCGCGGTTTGATCCCCAGTACCACATGCTACACCAGCCCTGCCCTCAGGATGGGCTGAGTCGGCCAAAAAAAAAAAACCCTGCACTCCAGGCTCTGCGGGGCATCCAGGTCCATGGAGATCAGAGGACCAGCAGAACTGGCTGCCCGGCCCCCACTCAGGTACCCTCCCCCACTTCTGAATGTTAATACTTTAACTGCAGCTCTCATTAGAGCTAGAGCTGGAGGCATCGCGGGTGCACGGGAGCGGCTCCCTACTGTGGCACAGGGGGAGGATGTCAGCATCCGTGAACAGCCCCTTTGCCCGGAGACCGCCCCTCCCAAAGAGCCTTTCTCCTGCCTGGCATGCTGGCTTTTCTTTTCTTTACCGCATGTAAGCTCACTAATTCTGAAAAGCAGCGTCCAGGGAGGCCGTAGTGCCTGTCCACGTGTGAGGATACAGGACTGTACACTCTGTGACACTAGGCCTCCTCTAGGGAACCAGTATCCACCTACAAGACCAAGACAACCCTTGACCTTAAAAGGTACCAGGAAGACTTTAAAAATTAATCATTGACTTCACTTTTTGATCTTCTTAAAAGTAAACCCAAAGCAAGCCAAAGTGATAGTACAAAAAGATAAATCTGGGCTAGAGGCTGCATTAAAAATTTAAGTTTAGGAAAATCAACTAATTAAATACTGGACACCTGATTCGCTCTTACTTCACGCCACTAGCTGTGTGTAGGGCTAGATTGGCCCTGGTTCAAGCTCCCTACTTCCAACCGCGTGGTGGTCCCTGCTACACACCACACCACATACGTGGAGTTACAAAGCGTCCTCGTCCTCGTCCTCAATGCAGGACACCAGCTGTGTCCCTGGCCCCTGCTTCCAGTGCCATGTCTGAATGTACAGCGCTGTTCTTTCTAAGAGAGCAACTTCTCACAAATGGGTGGCTGCAACCATCCTCATAATGTGCACGACGAGGGTCAGTGAGCCGATGTTACAAGCAGGAAAAGCGAGGACAAAGAAAAAGTGAACGACACAGTCTCCACACTGCACGGCAGAACCACCCCCACACTGGGGCTGTATGACCCTGTCAGGCACAGACGGGCCTTGTGCACACACCAGCGGATGAGGACGACGTGAGACAACACAAGGATGACCCCACTGCCCCCTCACCAAGCCCAAGCTCTGCCCCCGCCCCCCGGTTGCCAGCTGGGCCATTTCTCCAGGCACCTGCAGCCTCCACCAGCAGGAAACGCTCCGCCCTCCAAAGGACCGTCTAGGGCCCTCACATGCTGTCTTTTTTTCTCAGTACCAGGGATTGAACCCAAGACCCTGCACATGCTAGGTCAGCACTCTGTCCCCGAGCTGAGTCCAGACCTTGCACGATGTCACCAAGACAGCATAACACATTTTCTTAAGTCCTACAAGGAAGACTTCAAGATACTCTAAGGAACAGGCTGTGGCAGGCACACAGGCGCGGCACACTGAGTACTTAGCATGAACACGGGCTCACGAGGTTCGCTCACTGACTTTAGAGCAGGTGAAGCCTAGGTCACACACATTCATGCTTTGTTTTTTGTTTTGGTAACGGGGATGGAACTCAAGACCTTGCACTTGGGGCTGGTGAGATGGCTCAGTGGTCTAAAGCACCTACTTAGAACAAGCTTAGCAAAGCACAGGGACTGCGGTTCAATCCCCCAGCACCACATGCCAGCCAGCCCCGCCCCCTGGTGGGCTGAGCTGCCCCCACACAAATAAATAAATAAATAAATAAAGACAGACCTTGCGCTTGCCTGGCAGGAGCTTATGCCGCTGAGCTATCTCCCCAGCCCACATCCATTAGCAGGCTCCAAGCGCAGCAAGTTACAAGACAAGGAGGCGTGAAGACTGCTTTTCTAAATGGCACTCCTCTGAGACCCACTTGTGTCCTTGTCCTTCATGAGCTGGTCTTTGCTGTATTTTTGTGTATATTTTGGTAGTTATTTTTTGCTGTTTTGTCTGTCTGCTTGGGGTTTTTTTGAGACAAGGTGTCCTCTGATAGTCCAGGCTGGCCTCAGTGATCCTCCTGCCTCAGCCTCCCAGGTGCTGGGGTGACAGGTGTGCACCACCCAACCTGGCCACGCCACACCAGGACTTTGGAAACTGTAGAAATTGTTCATGGCTGCAGAATGTTTTATTCAAACTGTAAACAGTAAATGGACATGAGGTGCTCCGGCTTCCGCAAGGAGGGGCGGCAGAACTGGACGGAGGACTTGTGTGACTTGAAACAGGTTGACAGTTCCTGAGCAAAGCTATTAGTGCTATCTCCTGAGTCTATAAACGCCATTACCACACTGCAAAGCTTACTAAGCAAGTGAGCACGTAAGGAAACGTTTTGGTATGCTCAGACCCCTGTATTTCACAAACAAATCCCTTCTGAGATCCTTGGTAACAACCCTAGCACCCCTAGACATGAAGGGTGGATGGAGTGACCAGAAAACACCAATGGTTCTCCCAGCAGGAACACGTGGTTCTCGGAGACAATCTTTCCCCTGGCCTTCTGTGACCAGAAATCCAGCTCGGTGGCACGTGACTAACTAGCACTGTAGGAGGCTGAGGCAAGAGGATCCTAAATTTAAGACTAGCACAAGAAACTCAGCGAGACCCGTTCTCAAAGTAAAAACTGGGGGAGTAGCTTGGCTTCAATCCCCAATATTAAATAAATATCCATCTTGAAAGTGACTATGAGGGGCTGGGGAGATGGCTCAGTAGAATAACACTTGCCTGGCAAGTGCAAGGGTCTGAGTTCAAGCCAGACAGTTGCTCTCGCCTATACTTGAGCCACTCAGGAGGCTGAGGCAGGAGGACCCCAAGTTCAAGGCCAACCTGGATAACTTAGCGAAGCCCTGTCTCAAAATAAGGGCTGGCAATGTCACTCAACAAGGCCCTGGGTTTTATCCCAAGTAGCAGAAAAAGATACAGCAGGCTGGAGAGCACACGGCTTTCTAAATCATTTCAGGGGTGCTGGGAAAAGGAGGCGAAGGCCAGGGACACCAGTGGTCTCTGCAATGTGAGCTGCCGGCACGCACAGGTCAGGGGCGGCACACCTGGCCTCCCTCCACTGGGTGTCACACATGCACCTGCCTTGGCACAGCTGTCCAGCCAAGACTGCCTCCACACTGACCCAAGCTGCCTGAGGGAAAAGCCACCCAGCCCAGACAAGAACCACCACCAAAGGCTGAGCTCAACACAGACAGGAAGGTATGTATCCTTCACAAACACAATGGACACCAGACAGGCCCGAGTGCAACCGTGTTATTTCAGAGGGGCCCCCGAGCTTGGGAGACGGTAAGCCACAGTGATGCTGACTTCACTGGGCGGCACCGCACCAGGCCTGGACTTGGACTCGGCCACCCTCCTCACCAGGCCATCTGGGGCAGCAGAGCTACTCACCCACGTGGAGCCCCTCAGGGAGCCCGTCCTCGGAGCCGTCCTCAGAGCCAGCTTCTCGGTCCCCAGCCACACCGTCATCCAGCGTGGCCAGGTCTGGGGAGCATGTACCCGGCTGCCTGCTGTCAGCGGCCACGGGGGGAGACTCGGCGCCGGCACGCCGGTCCTTCTTGTGCACACGCGAGTGCAGGACGAGCTGGTGGTAGGTCCGGAAGGCCTTGCCACACTCCGCACAGTGTGTGGGCTTCTCCTTGCTGCCAGGCACTTTGGGGTCCACGTCCCCGGAAGGCACTTCACCGCTGGCATGTCTAGGCTTCTCCTTGTCTTGGGAGAGGCCTGTGTAGCTGCTTTTATTTGTTTTGGACTTCCCAGAACCTTCTGATTTGCTCCCATTCCAAATTTCTCCAAGTTCTTCCTTCTCTGAGCACGAGTCGTCGTTGTCGGTGCTTCCCTCCTGCCCCGACTCCTTGATCGTTTCCTCCCGGGCCATGGCCACTTTGCCCTTGGTGGCCAGCTGCCACGCCTGGTAGGTGGTAAACGGGTCGAGCTGGGGTATGCACTTGACCAGCTTCCTCCTGGGCTCAGCGTGAGATCTGGGCCTTAAGTTTAAGAAGCGCAGCAGCTCTTCCCGGGGAGCAGGGGTCCCCTCAGGCCTGGCGTCACTCTGCGGACCGCGACCGCTGGGAGCTGTTTCCTTGGTGTGCGCCTTGCTGTGCTCCAGCAGACTCTCTTTATTTTGGAACAGGAAGCCACAAACCATGCAGATCTTGTAAGGAGAAGAGATGCTGCCCGCCGCGTGCACCTGGACAACCTCGTTGATTGTGGCGGGTCCCTCGAGGCCTTGCTGCACTTTGCTGTTCTTGGTGCCCGACTTGCCATTGTGGGTCCGCATGTGGTTCTTAAGGAACCAGGGCTCTTTGAATCTCCTCCCGCACATGGTGCACCCGTAAGTGAAAGAGTCTTTGTGTTTCTTCATGTGAATCTCGACATCAAAAGCGACTCCAAATGTCTCCCCGCAGACCTCACAGCTGAACTCATCGTTGTCTTTGCAGTTCTTGTCCTTGGGCGGTTCCGTCTGCACTTGACTTTTATCAAGGGGACTGAGGTATTCTGCTTCGACCCGCAGAACTGTGGGCTCACAGAGGGTGGGCCGGTGCTGCATGAGGACGTGCTTGTTAAGGTCTTCCGCCAGAGTGAAGGTCTGGCTGCAGAACATGCAATCCATGGGCATGTACCCTTCAAGCTGGATTACGGTTTTCTCCTGCGAAGCTCTGAAAGGAACCGCAGCAGCAGCCCCTCTGATGGACAAGGCGGCATCCACTTCCACCTGGGTGCCCAGAGAGCTGCCGACCATGTCCTGCCCGTCCATGTAAACGAGGAGGGACTGCGTGGGCATGGTGCCTGCCGCCGCGGGGCCGCACACGGGAGTGACGCAGCTGGAATATGGCCGCCGTACAGCCACCACTCACACCGCCAGCCACCCTGGGCTTTGAAACCAGAGCAAGTACCACTACGAAGTTCAAAAGGACGTGTGCATTCCTCCAGCTGCTTATCAACCCAAGTTTTTAGGAAGCTCAGGATTGGGAGACTGCTGCTGGTTCCTTCCACAGACAGGCGTACAGGCTGCCTGACGCTGCGACCCAAATATGAATCAGCACCGAGCCTTAGTTCTCTCTGTCCCCACTGAGTGCATGGTTCAACCGAGCCAAGAAGTCAGTTCCAGCAACATGGAGAAAGGGATTTCCAAAACCTGAGGGGAAAAAAAGAGAAATGATTAGTGAACCACCTTCAGACCAGAGGGTGAGTCACACGGTCTTTTCCATGTAATAAAGGTGCCTAAAATTCAGGGCCTCCCTCACCTTTAACTTATAATGCATCCAGCTACATGTTTTGTTAATTACATCATTAGCATCCCCCGCCCTGTCAGTACACTTACTAATTGAGTAGAATGTCACCCAGTTGACATGGTGCTTTAGTCACTTAAAAGGTCAGGATGTAAGCCAAAACTCATTAAATTCAGCTGAATCCATTTTAAACACCAAGAAACAACTGATCCAAAGCATACTCAAAGATTACAGCCACAGAGGTCAAAGACAAACACACACAAAAGGATCCTAAAATCCTCCAAGAAAAGCAAACACTTCAGAATGGCCATCCCTCCTGGCCAAGGGCACTGGCATGTATTTTCGTTTGCTAGATATCATAGGCATCAATCTGCTACCCAAGCTGGGTGTGGTGGCACATGGCTGTAATCCCAGCACACAGGAGGCTGAGGCAGGAGGATCACCATGAGTTTAAGGCTAGCCTGAGCAACATCAAAAAAATAAACTTCAAGGCCAGGCTTGAAACCTGGTGAAACCCTGTCTCCATTTAAAAAAAAAAAAAAAAAAAAAAAAAAAAAAAAAAAACCTATTGCCCAAATCCCAAGGTACTATCTACCACTTTCCACCCTGACAGCACCAAATAGAACAGTTCTTAATCCAAACAACAAACATGGGAGATGTACAAAGTCACTTATTCTGTCCATGAACTTTTACCATATAATTCTCAGCATAGCTGTTTCAACGTGGCTTAGTGTCTCATCATAAAAGGGATCCTTAGGGCTGGGGAGATGGCTCTGTGGAATAAGTGCTTCCCTAGCAAGCCAAGAGCCTGAGTTTAATCCCTAGTTTGGGGGGGGGAGGGGTGTCCTTGAGTGTATCCACCTTTCCCTTTATGAGTTGGCCACACAGAAAGGGGATTGGTGAACTGTACAGGTCCAAAACGGAGGCTGATTTTCACTTTTGGTGAATAATTAGCCTCTAAAGCCAATACCTTTCATTTTTACTGCATGCACTGGACAGCTTTTCAAGATGTCCCAACTATGTTAAAACTGGAATCAGCCAGGCATGGTGGCACATGCCTGTAATCCCAGCCCCTTGGGAGGCTGAGACTGGAGGACTGCAGGGAACTCAAGGCCAGCTTGGGCTACACAGTGAGTCCAAGTCAGCCTCAAGTATGTAGTGAGACTTTGTTTCAAAAAAAAGGGGGGGGGCTGGTGAGATGGCTCAGTGATCTAAAGCACTTACTTAGAACAAGCTTAGCAAAGCACAGGGACCCCGGTTCAATCCCCCAGCCCCACATGCCAGCCAGCCCCGCCCCCTGGTGGGTTGAGCTGGCCACACACACACACACACACACACACACACACACATACATAAAGATATTAAAAAAGGGGGGGGGCGGCCAGGGAGATGGCTCAGTGGAATAAGCGCTTCTCTGGCAAGGGCAAGGTCCTGAGTTCAATCCCCAGTTCTGCAAAAAAAGAAAAGAAAGAAAGCAACTCCCTGCCCCCACGGGCGTAAAGCTGGCCAGAGAAGGTACTGCTCCCCCCTGCACGTCCTCCCCACCAGCCAGGCCAGTGAGCGTAGCAGACACTGCCTGCCTGTTTTCACTCAGAGAGGAAAAGTTTCCTCCACAGTACTTTTGGTTGTGAATGAGCAAGTTTTAACATTAAGCTTTTCTACTATGACTCCAGATTACAGGTGAAGGTGGAAAGCAAAGCCTGCAGTGCTTATCTTAGGGACAACAGCGGGTAAGCATGGGCAGGGTGGGGCCGGCCTGTGCGACCCAGCAGAGACCTGCAGAGACCTGGGTTCTAGCCCCACTGGTCACAGCCTCCCGGCTGCCAAGCGGCATCCCGCTCTTTCCACAGCTGGTCACCGGCCCTCAGCATTCCCAACTTCTTGATTCTGGAGACTGATCTGTACGATCAAGGGAACAGTCCAGGCTCTGCGGGCCAGAGGCTTGTGTGCATGGGGCCAGCACTTTAGCTCCCTACGTAGCCATTTACTCACTCAACAAGTATTTATTGAATGTCAATGTCCAAGCAGTATTTTAACCTTAGAATCAAGGCCCAGGTTCTAGCAAAGTAGTCACTATGCCCCGACAATACTGTTTACCGCAGCCACAGCCCGGTGAGGAACAGAGGCAAGCCAGGAGTTCTATGCACACACCCCAAGGACTCCCACTAACTTCAATTAACACTGAACATGGATTGGGGGGGCATGGAAAACGACAACACGCTGCTGTTCGCAAATGTCTTAGCATCTGTATTTAGCAAAAGCAAAGTAATCCCATGTGAGGTCTCAACTATATCTTTTTAAGGAAATTTAGGAGACAAAGATACAGGGAGCCAGCCAGATATCTCAGCGAACTAGAGTGCCTGCCTAGGCAGATGCAGGGACCAAGGAACCGGGGCTCAATCCCCAGCACCACATATCATACCGCCCCCGGGGGCGCTGAGCCCACCACAGAAACCGGGCATGGTGGTACACGCCTGTAATTCCAGCACTTGGGATGCTGAAAACAGGAGGATCAATCACTATGAGTCCACTAATGAGACCATGTACTAAATAATTTTTTAAATAAATAAGATACAGCTCAGCAGTGCAGTACCAGCCTGGCAAGCATGAAGTCCTGAATTTGATTCCCTGTACCCCTCCACCAAAAAAAAAAAAAAAAGAAAGAAAGAAAAGAAAAGAAAAGAAATTTAGGGCTAGGGAGATAGCTCAGCAGTCTAAGTGCCTGCCTGGCATGCACAAGAAAGAACCCAGGTTCAATCCCCAGCACCACATGCCATGCCAGTCCCAGAACTCTGGCCTTGCCAAGCTGGCCACCAAAAACCAGGTGTGGTGATGCACGCCTGTAATCACAACACTGGAAAGGCTAAGACAGGTGACAAAAGCCCGAGCCGCATAGCAAAACCCTGTACTAAATAAATTCAAAAAATTAGTATTTTTTTAAAAAGAAAATTTAGCTGGAACCAGAGTACAACTGATAGAGCCCTTGCTTACCATGCGAAAGGCCCTGGGTTCAATTCCCAGAACCACAAGAAAAAAAAAATTTTGGCTAAAAGGAGCCAGGGAGATGGCTCAGTAGAATAAGTGCTTGCTTGGCAAGGGAAAGGGCCCGAGTTCAATCCCTGGTCCCACCAAAAAAAAAAAAAAAAAAAAGAAAGAAAGAAAATCTTGAGGAACCTGGCTTTTCCACAGACAGCAAGGCCTTCCCCAAGAAGGACACCAACCCTGCACTCCAGTGTAAATTAAGAGACAATATGGGTGGTCTCTGCTTTTCCCACCCTAGATTGCAACATAATAACCTAAATGCTGGAAAATCTTATTCTAGAATGATGGTCTGGGTCCATTTTTTTTTTTTTTTTTGAGGAACCAGGGGTTGAGCTCAGGCCCTTGCTCTACAGAGCCATCTCCCCAGCCCCCTTCCTCAGAAATTTTCAAATGAACTGAAAGAGGTCCCCATCATTCTGAACCACAAGACTTTTGACCAAAACAGTCTCCCTGGAGAAGAGTGGAAGCCTCTGGAAGAAACACAGAACCTGCAGAGAGAGGGCAGCGCTGCAGGCGGGCAGGAGGACGTGTGCGGACAGACTCCCCAGGGGCACTGCTTCCTCCAGAGGCTGTCCTCCAGCTGGACAAGACACACCCCACACCCCAGCTGCCCTCAAACTTCTGACCCGCCTGCCTGTTGGCTGGAGTGTTAAGGTAACAGCAGTGGCCAGGGTGAAAAGCTCTGGTGGCTGAGCCAGCACAAACCTCCCAAGCTCCATCCCTGACCAAGACGCAGCACAGCCCTGCCCTGGTGCTGTTCCCACAGCTCAGTCATCCCACTTCCTCTAAAAACTTTTTTGGTCCGGATCTAACATCATCCTGTTAGCAGCCGGGCGTGGTGGTACACACCTGTATTCCCAAGCACACAGGAGGCTGAGGCAGGAGGACCACTCAAGGGCAGCCTGGGCTAACACAGTGGGCTCAAGCCCAGCCTGGATTCACAACTCTTTGTCATTACCATAAGTCATGGTTCTCTTAGCAAGAAAGGCCTCAAATCAATAATACCCACTATACAGTGAGACCTTGTCTCAAAAAAAATAGATAGATAGATAGATAGATAGATAGATAGATAATAAACTGTCCCCAGTGCCTAGCATAGGGTTAGGCCTTGGAAAGTAAGAACCAGCACAGGGAGAAAGGCAGGTGAAGACCTTCGGCCAAGACCAGTCGTAACTGATCTGACACTAAGACCGACATGACTGTTCCAAGACTTCTACCTGGCTGTGGCTGCCATCTCACGACCATCACCTGCAACCTCGCGGCTATAAGAAATCAGTCACTCACACTCTAAAGTTCACCAGCACAAACGTAAGCTGCATCCCTGTGGGGGCTGCATGGTGAGACCCGACTTTCTCCTGAGCACCACAAACCCAAAACTGCAGCAAGTAGGTCCAAGTCCTCCCTCTGCAACGCACAACCATCAAGCAAGTTGCGGGTGGCGCCTGCAGACCACTCCCCACCCTCACCTGATCGGAGTGCCCGGGCCATGGACACAGAAGCCACCAATGCCTTGCTCGCACGCTGAAGGATTGGGATACCCTCAGCCAGGGCTCATCAGTTAGACCCAATTACATTCCTTTAGAGGCTGCAATAGCAAAGGCTGAACGCTACCTAACTCACCAGAACAGGAACCTAAGGTACTGCTACTGACAGCAAGAAGGCTCCCCTACCTGAGGGTGCAGCAGCCCTTGCTGAGGCTGAGGAGCACCAGCAGCCAGGTGCTGCCCCTAGGAGGGCTGACCTTAAGGGACAGGAGGGGAAGACATCACAGTCCACCACTGGACGGCCAAATAGCTCAGCGGATTAAAGCACCTGCAAGCAGGTGCAAGGGCTAGGGGTTCATCCCCAGGCCTGCCATGGCAGC